CTTTTCCAACCTAAACGATTCTATGATTCTATGTGGGGACACCCCAGCAAGTCTGAATACAGCATCCCCAGACCCTCCTGGAGCTCACAGCCCCGAGGAGGAGATGGGAACCACCACCCCAGGAGGACCTGAGCTAGGTTGCATGGGGCGGGTAGGCTCAGCCCCAACCTGCAGCCCGCCCAGCCCTGACCGGCGGCTCCCCCCTGCACCCCCAGGCAGTTCCTACACCTCACCCGCTCCCACTTCAACGCGGTGCTGCTGGACAAGGCGGGCGCTGCCCGCGAGCGCTACATCTCCCCCGTCAGCCCCGATGAGCTCTTCGTCTTCATCGACACCTACCTGCTGAGCGAGCGGGAGGCAGCGCGGCGGGCGCAGAGCGGGGACCCCTGCGAGTGAGGCAGTGCTGAGGAGACCCCCACTCCGCCGCCTCCGGCCTCAGGGGACAGACACCTTCCTTTCTGCTTTTCTAGTCGCCCACTGTAGTGGAGGACCAGGGTGCCACGGTCCTCCAGGGGAAGGGGAGCCCCTCTCTGGCTGCTCTGGCACAGGGATGGGGGCCATGTGCCAGCAGTGTCCCCACTGCCCGGTCTCCAGGAGCAGCCTCCAACTGTGGGGTGGGATGGCTCAGCCCAGCCAGGACCACGGCAGGAGACGCCAGAGCACCTCTGCTCAAACCCCAGGGCAGGGGGGAAGACGGGGAGCCAAACGCTGGCCTGCCAGGGCAGAGGAGAGGGGACAGGGCCAGGAGCGCAGGCAGGGCAACAGCCTCTAATGCAGCAGCTTCAGCCTCCCTGCAGCCATCCTCACCCCCTGCAAACCTGAACCGACCCCCTCCCTACCTGGGGTCAGCCCTGCCAGGGTCCTGCCGGAGCTGCCAGAAAGCCTTTAGTAAAAGCAAAGGGCCCCAGGCTCAGCAAAGCCAGTAGCAGCCAGCCAGCCCGCAGCCCACCCCGAGGGCTCGCCCTCCGCACCCTCCTCCTCGCTTCCCCTTCCACGGGGCAACCCTTCCTGGGAACTGTTTTGGCAGTAGAATATTAACTCAAAATAAATAAATTTGTATAAAAGTCAGTGCTGGCAGAAGGTGTGTTGCAGAGAGGCCCTGGAAATGAATCCTTCCTTGGGGGGCACTGCCCCCAGACCCCCCAAGCCGACCCCGCACACAGCTCCATCTCAGCCCCGCAGCCGGGGCTGGGGCTGGGCTGTGCATGGATGCCCCAGTCCCGGGGCCGGCAGCATCCTGCGGGAGGAGGGTGGGGAAGACAAGAAGGGAACAGACTGTGAAAGAGAGGGGGCGGGAGGAAGAAGAATGGAGAGAAATAAAAACCCAACCACATTTGAAAGCATTTTGCCTGGGGGGGAAGAAAGGAGGGTCCACAAGGACTCCGGTTTAGCCTGAAATTTGGTGCAAAGCCTAAGACGAAAGGAAAACCTTTTAAACAAAGCAAGGCCAAGAAGACTTTCTGCCCAAGCCTGTTCAGAGAAGGTCATGTTTATTAAAGTATAAGCAAAAAAAATAACAACCATGTTTGGCAGCCCTGCCGGGCCATGCTGCGAGTGCAGCTCTCGAGCAGCGGTGCCAGCCCTGGGCCAGGTGCCGGTGCCTATGGCCTCAGCTTGGCCATGGTGGAGCGGAGCTGGAGCGTCCCCTCCGCCCATGAGCCTGGGTACTGGCGCATCTTCTGCCACAGGTTCAGCTCCTCGCCCGTGGAGTCCATCCAGTCCACAGCCTGCCCGTTGCTCATGCCTGGGAGAAAGGATGGATGTGGGCAAAAGTCACTGCCAGAGCAGCCTCCTGCCCACAGCAAGACGGCTCCAAGCAAGGCTGCTTGTCTCCAGGGTTTATGGGACCCCAGAGCTCCTCACCATTGCCCACCCCAAGACGGACCCCCCCGAGGAAGTCGTTGCTGGACAGTGGCTCCCGGTCCCAGACTGTCAGCTCCAGGCAGATGTGCTGCAGGTCCTCGGGGTTGATGCCATTGTAGACAAAGGTGTGGTTGTAATGAGGGTTCAGGGTCTTCTTCACCACAGGCGTCTTCCTCTTGGAGGCTTTGTTTTTGTGCGGCAGGAGGTAGCTGGGAGAAGCAGCACATGTGCAACTGCCTTCTGCCCCAGGGGCTGGGCCACCTCAGCACCCCAGCACCTCTCCCAGAGCCCACTGGTGCTGGGTCTCTGCCCCGACTCCTGAAAAGCTGCTCGGCAGACTGCAGGTGGCCTAAGGAGGGGAGAGCGCAAGGACCGCAGCCTGCGTGCCCCCAGACACACTGCCCAGTGGCTTGGTGAGCTCTGGGAAGGCAATCTGATGGCAGCTGGAGCCCTGCCCTGCACGCAGCCTCCCACTGAGACCTCTCAGCCAGCCAAAACCCAGAAGAGCATTTGCTACCAGGAGCATCTCATCTCCAGGCAGAGACAGGCAGACAGAGGCTTTCAGGGTACCAACGCAGGCAGCGTGGGGCCGCTGGCAGAGACCCATCCCTCCCCAAGGTGGCTCTGGGATGTGGCCAGGGAGGACAGTGCCTTCATTCCCGCCCCCCGCCCCAGGAGCCACACTCACCCCTTGACAAAGCTGTCTGAGGTCCCCCCGGATTTCGCAGCCGTGAGGTTCTTGGCTTCTTTGATCCAGACCTGGAGCTCACCGCCTTCCCCCGTTTTGCCTGGGAAAAACCCAACAGAGCAAGAATTCATCAACCTTAATTTCCACCACCACTAACTTCTGGAAAGGTTCTGCTGAACAGCCTTCATCGCAGAGGCAGGTATGGATCCCCCAGCTGGAGTCTCCTCCTGCCTCCTCCCTTACTGCCCTGCCTGCGGAGGTGAAGGCAGACAATTGCTCCATGCAGAGCCCCATGGACCAGCCTGGTCCAGCCCCAGGAAAGCACTGGACCACCTGGCCAGCCTGAGGACAGCCAGGTCTGCCCTGACCCAGAGCAGCCTTGCAGGTGTTGTGGAGGAGAAGGCTATAGCAGCACCACCTAAGAAACCCACCCAGACCCAGCTCGCGTGGCCACAGCAGGTCCCACAGGCTACACGGAGACCCTGGAGCTCCAGCACTCACCCTTCCTGCTGTTCCCAGCCCCAGGATGCTTGGAAGATGGGATGTACTTCATGGAGACAACCAGCTCCCCCTTGTACTGGTGGAGACCAGCAGCATCCGCCCCAATCTGCAAAGAGCCAAGGCTTATCAAACACTGCTGGAGAGGCCAGAGCAGACACAGTGATGGCCTGGCCTGCATGCAGCACCTCCTCGTGCCAGGCCAAAGAGCTTGGCTTCTCCTAGAGGTGGTTTCACCAGCACAAATGCCTGCAGGCTCTCCCCAGCATCACCAAGTCAGACTCAGACCAGCTCCTTTGGGATCCTACTTAGGCTCAAACCAGTTCCCTTAGGAAACCCTATTTAAGGGTTTCCACACGCTGCTCAAGCCCCAGCAATGCCAAGGGCTGAGCCCACAGTATGAGCCAGTTAGGGGAACCAGACTTTTAAGTCCAGCAGCAGCATCTGCTGTTGCCATCAAGCTGCACGAAGGCCCTCACTGCCTGGCTCTGCAGCCCACAGCAGGATTTCCTGGCCAATTTCCCCCATCTGTTTCCCTGAAGTTGGCTGCAATTCCTCCCGGCCGGGGCAGGGAGCTGGGAAGAGCTGCACTCTTGGAGCAAACAAGCAAGCAGAATGAAAATACCTGACGGGACAGAGCCATGGCACTGCATCCCACGGGGGATATACTGAGGAGGAGGAGGGAAGCTAGGCTTAAGGCAGATCTACACTTTTTTACTACTACTGCTGTCTGCTCTGGGGTCTTTGTTTCTCCAAGGTGTGATTTGGGGCAAGCCTTGTGGCAGCTCTCAGCCAAGGTCTCTGCACCCCTCTGCCCTCTGAGAGCCACCCCCCGGGACAGGGACAGGCAAGGGAGGCTGCTGCAGGCAGCAGGGCGGGGGTGACAGGGCCAGCACCTTGCCGTGCAGGGGCAGAAACTCCTCCAAGTGGCTCTCGAAGTTCCAGGCGTCCAGCGGAACCTCCGCCTCCCCCAGGAATGTGTTTCGGCCAAAGCGATCGTGGTGCCAGACTGAGAACTGCAGCGTCCTCGCCCGCAGGAGGGACTTGTTAATCTCGTACTAGGAAGGGAGACAGGAAAAGCACGGGTGAGGAGGCAGCGCCAGGCAGGGGACAGGCTTGGCATACACCATCAGCCACAGCTCTCGAGCAGGAGAGGAGTCAGGTTTGAGGAAACATGGATGCATGCAGGAGACTACTTGTCTTCCTTTCCAAGCCTGCTAAAACCTCAAAGTCCCGGGGCAGTGGCGCAGGAGCCCGTGCTCCCCAGGCAAGTGGTCCTCAGAGCCCATGCAGAGCCAGAACCGGGACTCACGGCATCCAGCCACCCCACCCCATCCCACCACAAGCGAAGCTACGCCAGCCCACCGAGCCTCAGGTGGTCAGAGCACGATACCTCAGCAAACCCAGGGCTGTGGGAGCCTGGAAACCCAACCGCAATTCCCACTTCTCTCCTGTCCAGAGAGTGCCTGGCTTCAGCGATGCGCTGCTGGGCTCAGGAACAGAGCCAGCCCTTCCCCCCACCCCATGGTGGCTGCAGCAGGGACTGTGCAGAGCAGCGCCAAACACTTCTGCCTTGGGGCCCAGAGTTGGCTTCTCTCTGCCTCTCCAGCCACACTGCCCACCCTCCCACCACTGTAACCTGCAACGGCCCAGGAGCCCACTTCACAGGAAAGCAATGTTCAGGGGTGAGCAGAAGGCCCCTGGCTCTGGGGGATGCCCCAGGAGCCAGGACACACATCCACACCTGCAGCTTTGCCTCCACCCCACCGTGGCACCCAGGGCTTGGCACCGCAGCCACATCAGAGCAGTGACCCAGCCTGGGAGTGGGTTTTTCCCGCGTTCAGGGTGCAGTGTCTGGACACGGGTCCTCTGCAAAGCCCCTGCCTCAGGGTGTGGAGCCCATCCGTCCCCTGGTTTGTTCCAGCAGCATCCCCAGGGCCAAGTGCCTGCCCGGTCCCACGGCAGGGAGCGGGCTGCACCCCAGCCCAGCCCCACTCACCTTCAGCAGCTCGTTGTACAGCGGGTTGATGGTGTTGCGTTTGATGGTCGTCTTGCGTTTCCCTTGCCGGGATTTGTCAGGCAGGAGGTAGGTCTTCACGTACCTGAAGGGAGGATCAGGCACCATTTCACCAGTCTCCCCACAACCCCCCATCACCCCCAGGACAACCCCAGGCCTCCTGCCTCACCAAGACACCCCCCCCCCTTATGGCTCCCATCTCTGGTGAGCACCCCACAACCCAGCTGAGCACCACTGGCCATCGCCCCCCCGGCTCTCACGGGTTGGAGCGCTTCTTGCCCTCGTCCCCATAGGCCAGCTGGCGACACTCCTTCACGTGAATGAACAGGGTCTGCGTCTTCTCCTCGTAGCTCAGGGAGAAGGAGATTCCCCCGGTGACCGCAACGTTGCCGAAGTCGCCAGCCTCGCTGTAAATGCTGACCATGCTCCCCAGCGTGCTCTGGAAGACACGGCAGGGCTGAGCCGGGGCAGCATCGCTTGGTGGGTCCCTCCTCATCCTCAGCAAGGCTACTCCTCCGCACAGCCCCTCTCTCACCCCTCCGTGGCTGGGGATGGCCGCCGAGTGCCTCCCACCCCCACGCAGGCTCCCTGGAAGAGAGCTGGGTCTCCGCGTTTCGATTCGCTTCGAGGGGAGGAAGCCCCCACGCCCCAAGCTCTTGCCCCCGCACCCGAGGAGCTGCCTGCCCTGCCTCCCTCCCACCCAACCAGCCAGCCATGCCCTTCTCCATCATTTCTTCCTGTGGAACAGGGCACAGCCGTGCCGTGGGGACTCACCGAGGAGGTGCCGCTGCGCATGCTGCCCCGGGCCACCCTCTGCCGATGGATCTCCACCAGGTTATCGATGTCCTCCTCCTCCTCCTCCTGCAAGGAGAGACAAGCCGCCTGCGTGGGGAGCGGTAGGGCACGGCCGGCCAGGCAGCCAGCTCCTCCAGCCGGCAGCCCGCTCCGCCGCATGCCGAGGGGGCCA